ATGTAAACAGAACCAAATGAATTTTGAAACAAAACTGAAAATGAACGGGACGCTAACGAGAATTGCAGTTGAACCATTTTAAATTGTGAATTATGAATTGACAATTGAGGAGGAAAGCTATTATTCAATATTTGCACAATGAGCCATGCTAATAAAGGCGGTGTGTATGTTTTTCGCTCAGTTGTTGACGCAAGCGGTCGAAGGAACAACTGAACTATGGGCTAAACAGAATCGAAACACAATGAACCCAAAAACATGGGATCTTTTTGATTGAGAATTTTTTCTTCAAGTATTTTCAATTAATCAAGAAACTCTTTTTTGTCTTAACCACTGTACTCCTTCATTTAAATTGTGGATAAAATGATTGCAATTCCAATGCTTTTTTTGTGTCTTGATTTAGTATTCAACCCGAGCAATAGAATTATTTAAAAAAAATGGGATTCAAAACGCAATCACGCGCAGAATGAATTATAATTTGAAGAAGATGAAGAATAAAAATGGAAAAAAGACGGCACACAGACTCAAATCGTCATAAATAATTCAATTGATCCAAGAATAAAATGGCTAAATGTGATGAAATGATTGCAATGATTGCATCGACAAGCATCTTGTATAATGTTGGCTTGAAATGAAATGGGCGCGTGCTCAACCCCCAATCGCCGCTCTTTTCTCTCTCTCTCTCTCTCTCTCTGGCAAAAAGTAGTCAGCGTTCACTCCATCAAAGTCTTTGGTAAATCGTATTAAAATTAAATATTTAAAATATTTTTCAATCATGTTTGTAATGCATATAAAACAATTTCCACAATTTATTCCGTCGTCTAAACGAAAATACGCTCTTAAAGCGATTCAATTCAATTTTGTTCTGCTCTATCTGCCTCATTTTCAATCTCTCATTCTCGTTCTCACCCACTTGCACAATCGTATGTTGTGCGCTGCGTGCTGCCTTTCCATTTTCGTGTGCACATTTCCTGCTTCTTCGGATTGCTTAGTTCGGTATTTTTTTTATTCTTCTCGTCGATTTCGTCTAGTCAGAAAAACGACAGCCATTGCCGATGAGGAAATAATATGCGAAAAGGCAAAGGAAATGACATAGTTGGAAGATTATTAACATAATCTTCGTGCATATCGTGAATAGCTGGATTCTTTATGCCGTCTTGTTGGTTTACTCCCCAACTACATCACACCATCCCTCGACTCCACCGCCGTCCTTGTCGTCGATGTATGGTGAGCGTGTGTGGCTCATGTTGCGTTGTCTCTTTCACACTTTGGCTTGCTGCTGTTGCACATTACCGGAAATGTACTTCGATGCATTTACACTCACATAGATCCACAAAGCGAAGAATGATTCCCTTTTCCTTATTATTTAAACTCTCGTTGTCGATTCTAATGTGTATTTGTCTCTTTTTTACCACCACCACATCCGATTTATATGTGTGAAAGAAAGATTGAGAGAAAGGGAAGGAGATAGTAGAGGGAAGTGAAGAAAAATAGCAAGAAAATGCGAACAGATGAATCCAATAGTGCATCGAATATCTCTTTTACGGAGTTTGCACACAATATTCGGGAGAAATGCCACGGGGACAAACGATTGAAACACACATAGTATTCATGCACTCAATGCATTATAGTTGTTTGATCGTTAGATTGAATCCAATAATTCAGCGATTGAACGGGTGTGTGTTTGTGTGTGTAAAAAAGGAGAGAGAGAGAGACGAACAAAAGAAAAAAAATTGAAATGCAGATTCAATCACATTTTTCGTATTCATGAAATAACTTGTGAATGGTGTTGGCAGAAAGACATGCGGCGATAACGAGAGCATGAACACATTCAATCGTAATCGAAACGGTGCAAACGAAACCAGACTAATGCTTAGTCGGGATAAAAAAAAAATCCCGTTCGTCCGGAAAACCGTATGTTTCAATCGATATCTCACACGCGGCGGCTACACATTCACGCTTACAAAAACACCATAAAGAAAGACGTGCACGTAATTTTTGCATATTTTTGGCATTTTTCATCCGGGTGCAAAACGTCGGAAATACGGGATTTTACTTTTTTTTCTCTCTTCACACAGTTAACCGAGATTTACTGAGCAAAGTCGAATCATTGGATGCAAATAAATTCATCATGGCGACGGTGGTGGTAATGGCAACACATTCAATATGCAATTCAACAAGCCGAGCTATGGATTTCGTGAATTGAATTCAAGAATCTACTAAATGCTAATTTACTAATTGATTTAAACATATCAACTGGGTTGAAATGCAATAGCAGTGATAGATGAAGTGAAATGTTCGGAGTTAACAGTTGAAAACTGGGACGATTTTCCCATATACATGCCAGAAATAGCTATTGCAATTTTATATCTTACATTCACATACCATGAAACCATATTAGGTTCAAGATTTTTTTTTTCGTTGTTGTTAATACTTTCATCATATACGATGGAAGAAAGAGCCGTAAATGAGACTATAGTACTCTCTGGGGTATCACGATGCGAATCATGTGTGATTTATATTTAATAGTAAATATGAAAATGCGCGATAATTTTCGTTCCAGATCATTTATCGTGTGAATTATATCCGGCAGAGTGAAAGAGAGTGAGGAAACGAGAATGAGAGCCGGACCCGAATATCGTCATCAAAATGCATCGCAATGAAACGGGCTAAATGGTAGCGAGCGTCTTTACGTTGTTTGTATGAGTATGCGGCCCATGAGTTGCGTAATTTGTGGCTCACCTTAACATTTGGCGCAGTAAAATGCGTTCATTGTTTGTGGGGTTGTTGGTTATGACAAACAAAATGTGCAGGTGCCAAAATATGTAAGAGCTTTACGGTTTCAAAGAATCGTCCAATCCTTTTACGCTCTTTTGCGACCATCATAAAATAGGCAAAAACATACATATTTTGCAAACGGGCAGGCAGCAGCAGCAGCAACAACAACAACACCAACTACACGTTACGTTTTATTATGCCATATGTGTTGATGTGAGTTTTGCAGCAAATCGCACCAAATTTCCACATGATACTGGAGATTTTGGCAATCCGCACATCACTGGCATAATAATATATGTAAAAAGTTTTGATTTTATTCTTTTCTACATTGTTTAGCGTTGCGCACAACGGACGGAAATACTTGCAAATCGTTTGAATTCGACTTGGTGTGTAGTACACCATCCCCTGCCATATCGTATGCTCACCAAGGTGTGGATTTTCCCTTTTTTTGGTGTTCATTTTACATGCATTACATATAAAATTCATACTTTTCTTTCTATTGTTATTATTATTGATGCTGATGGAATCTGACGGAAACGGGTTTTCTTTTGCGAGCAACCAACCTTTTTGTAAAATGCGGTTGATACGAGCAATTGAAAGATGTGTGTGCCCAGCGGGATAATTTTGAGCATTGATTTTGTTCTTTCTTCTTTTTTTTCACTTTTACTTTTACTTTTACTTTTATACATGAATATGTAAAACGCACATATAATCATGTACGATGAAAATGTGACTGTGCGGCTCGAATCTGAAAGCACCTCCCACTCTTACTGTCTTTAGTGAGGCCACAAGTATTCCCATCAAATTGTAGAATTGAAAATTTCGTTCGCAAGTCACATTTTACTGGTGATGTCCCCAATTCGGCGTACTACTCGTATCTCATGTGTGAGTGGTGTGGAATAGAAAAAAGGTAGAATGAGAATGGTATTTATCGTTTCAGCCCAATAAAAATAAAAAAGAAGACGGAAAAAGGTGCCGTTTTCCCTGTTTTGTGACACGTCGCATGTGAATTTTTGCAACTTCAGTAATAATGACATTACTGATGATTTTTCGCTCATGATTTCACTCCTTTTTTCCATTTCCCCCCATTTTCAAGTGGTTACCGAAAAGAAATGAAATATAAAAACAGAAATGGATAGTTTTTTCTTCTTGTGTTCGCCATGCGTGTTTTTCAATACGTTCACAAGGCACCACCAGCAGTAGCACGAAAGAATTCGCTTAAAGTGAAAATTTTCACAAGAAATTGGTATGGATAAATGGTAAAAGTACGAATTTTTTTACGATCATAAATATATGACATTCCCATGAGTCCAATATCACAGTTGCCAACACTTTACATAGATAAAGGAGGCGATAAAAATATGTTTGACTAGTGTGCGCCTAGGCGCGCTCATACAAAAATGTAATCATCCCTTTTTCAGCATATGCATACGAAGCAGCGGCAGCAATAGCCGCAGCAACAGCAACGGCAACGGCAATAACAGGGGAGGCAAATGATATAAAAAATGCCTGTCCATTAAAGAATATTGTTTTCTATTACACGCACATATGTGTAAGTGTGAGTTATGGGCATTCATGCATTTTCGATAAAGGAATTCGAAATTGCGTACACATTTGAGGAAATACTTTGCTGTGCCTTCTTCTCTCTATCCCATTCTGCCACTGCCACCGATGAACCGCTTTACCGATGAATGATTTTCGACAGTTCCGATTTGTGATTAAATTGAGAATCTCTGCACACAATTCATACTTCTTTTTTTTCTCTTTCGGTTCTGTCGAAATGTTCGATTTTGCCTGTTTTCCTTAGCTTTTGGTGAATTTTAAAAATTGAAGGTGTCAATAGACTGCTTCGTTTGTATGGGATATTTCGATTTGCAGCCAAGTTTCATTCAAAGTCACTTGGATTTGAAATGGCCGATAAAAGACGAAATGAATCACGTGCGATAGCAAAATTCTCAAATTTTCCGAATAAATCGATTGAGCCGTTATTCAAAAACTTCAATGTTCCACGAGCTAGGTGAAAAAATACACTTTTCTCCCATCGAATAGCAACCCAAGCAAATACGCCCATTTAGCAATGTGAAACCAGAACGAACGGAATGGTTCCACTTGCAATTTTAGTTACTGCTATGTGAAGCCATCCTTACAGAGGGAAGAATTTCTAGCGAGTTGGCATCGCCGTTAGATTCACTTAAATATATATGACGCAATGTATGAACACTTACCAATGACAGTTAAATTGATCTTCAAATTTCGAGTAGGTGAATTGCGAAAATCTACTCGACACCGGTACATTCCTTCGTCGGATAGTTTGATATTGTCAACTTTTAATTGTGCTGGACGATTTGCGGTGCTGAAAAAAGCTCGGGATCCGAATACCGTCGGCGATGACCACAGTTTTGCTTGTCCAATTGGCCGACCGCGTACATCAAAACTACAAATACACAATCACAATGGGCAATTAGTAATACAGTGGAACAAGAAGCAAAACAGAAAAAAAACTGCATTTCACATTTTCAATATAAATATATATATTTATTCGTTGTTGTTTTTCTTCTCTTTTCAATTTTGAACGATCAAAAGTTTTGCGAGTGAAACTTTCAAATTAAAAACTACAACAACAAGAAACGGTAGTTGAATGGGACGAACGAGCGAGCACGCTCACGCTTCAGCATTTCTTGTTATTGAAGTTTCAGAAATCATGACCACTTCATTGGAAACACCATGACTTTATGCTCCTTTAAAGAGCAAATTCAGACAGCAAGCAGATAACAAACCATTTTTCGAAAACTAAAATCGAACACGTTTCAACTTTTAATAAGTTCAATTTCCTTCTCTCGCACAGTGTGTCCTTTTCAAAAATGGATTCGCAGACACGATACCGAGATTTCTGCGCTTCAACAGCACAGCCTAAAGTCATAAAAGGTGATATACACATCGCATTTTCATTCATTTTAAGCAATGAATTATCGCCATAAGCTTTTTGCAACTGCGACACAATCTGCCGAATTCAATGGAAAAATTGTGTGATTTCATCGAACAAACCGAAACAATCGAATTGAATTGCAACTTACTTGTATAATGGTTCGTTGTCTCCTTCTCGATACCAAAGCACCATGAACACAACATCACCCTTCTCCAACGGATCGATGTCACACGGCAACATCGCTTGTCTACCTAATACACCGCGCACTGACGTTATTGGAACTGCAATGAAAATGATTAAAATTATTCAAATTGGCAACATTTGCATAAAACAGACACAAACAAAATTGAACAGAGGAAAAAAGGAAAATAAAATCAGAGAAAGTGAGAAATATAATAACCAGACACACAATTATAAATGAATGAAATGTTGAGCAAACATGCAATATATTTTGATATTTCTTTGATTAACACACATGAGGTAACGGACCAGTAGTCAGCAAATAATTTATTATTTATAAATTATTGACAGAATTGTTAAGCCATTATTCAAACATAATGCTGTACATTAGCACTGTGTTGATTGCCTATAGCTGTGTTGATTGTTGTATAGCTGTGCAAGTGAATCAAATGGAGAAAGGGAAGCGGCTGTATTTGTACTGAACCTTTTTTTTGTCATTCATTTGATTCAATTAATTTACGATCGCAAAATGTCACTTATACTCAGCATGACATGCGATTAATCATTGGAAACATTTTCAAAATAAAAACTAGCCGTCATAAACGGGCTGCAACACAAATCCACGCACCGCACACACCAATAAACACCAACACGAACAAAAGAGCCATCAAAATCACAAATGTGATACAAAGCGTTCAATTTCATATAAAATACAGTAAAAGCTCGATTATCCGTCTCTCGATCAACCGTCAGTCCGATTATCCGTCACCGCAGTCAGCGATGAATTTTTTTTGTTTTGTTCTTATTTTGTTTTTATGTACACAATGCGCAAATGATGTTTATGATTTGTTTTCTGTTTACGAAAAGCATAGAGAGAGATTTTGGGAATTCGACAATAAACTGCACTCACTGAAAATGCAAATGTTAGCGCAATACACAGTTACACAAATCACCGAACACAATTACAGAGAATGTGAACAGCGGCACACTCTTTCATTCGCGATTCTAAAAATAGAATTGCGACACAATAAATTCACTTTGCATGATCTGATTGAATCGATTTCATAACTTGATTGGACGTGTTCGAGCAATTCGTTGATTGGTATACCAAACAGAATGATGCCAGTCAAGTCGATGTGATGCTTCTACGACGATTGCGAAATTTGGCTGTCACGAAATCGCAAGCACCAACCAAAAACGACGGAATTTTTTTTTACTAAAACATCTTAAATCACATCGCTTTTTCATTTTTGAATTGCGCAACGAAAACATTGAAATCACATCTAGATTACATATACATTTAAAAAAACGACGAATATAAAAGTACCGTTTTTATTTTTCGAAAAAACCATTTTTTCCAGCACATTCGATTGTCCGTCTATTTGATTATCCGTCTGTGTCGCGGAACGGTGCCTGAAGGATAATCGAGCTTCTACTGTACATTGAATCGCTTGTGTAGCTATATCGTATTAATTTTAATTTGTAATTTTAATATTTTCGGTTTTAAATGACGCTCTCTTCATATATACCCACACTATTCGGTCATTTTATTTATGCCGAATACAAATTCCATTTTTTCCGTCAGTGACTGCCAAAGTTTTTGTTGTTGTATTTGTGATGTCCATTTTCATGAAATATCCAAAAGCCCCAAACGAAACCCCAAAATGCCATATGTTTCATCGTTGGTCAAACAAATGTACGCTTCTCTTTTTCCACGATTTATTACAATTATTTACATGTCAATGCGATCTGGTGTAAAATGCTTCCATTGCTCTTTTTTTCTGGTTGCCTTTTTTCTGGTGCTCGCGTGTTGATAATTTATCTAATTTCATTGAATTCATTACATTCATTATGGTTATTGGTTTGGTAAAGCAGAGATTTCTCGATGCCATAATTCCAACGATTTTGGCATCCAGCCGAGTAAGGAGTCTCGAAGCAAACAAGAGAGAAGCGAACCAAAATGACATTCGGTGAGGTGTTACCTTATTGCGGGGCCAATTAACTCATTGCCAAATGAAGTATTTGCTTATTTAGTTTATATTCAAATGAGCGCACAATATGCAAACCATTGAGGCATGCGACGAAGACGGCAATGCACGACAATATATTTGACAAAACACAAAGACAACAAAACTTTGCCATTCCATCTTGACTTGGCGCATTGACTTGCAAGAAGCAAAAAACAATTGACTTGTTGGAAGTTTTTGGCGTGTATTAAAGACTTCTTAGTAAGCAAAAAACTTTTCAATCAAATTTATGGATTTTCAACGTAATCAACGTCTGCTGAAAATGATATTTGCATTTGCAACCGCACCGAAAACTCATTCGTTGTTATTATGGAGTATGTGTGTGTGTGAGTGCGCGCGCTAATGTGATAGTAAGACGAAGTTAACGCAAATACTCAGAGGATGTGAAAAAAAATTCTCAACCATATACACACAGGCATTCATGTATGAGATCGCAATGTAACAGCTGTTTATATGTAAGTTATCTGTCATCATTTCTGAACTTTCAAATCACTCACTTATTTATTCGTTCGAAAATCTGCATTTGCACACATTTATGTCCCCAAATGTGACGGGATAGCAGCATTGCGCAACGAAACTCTATCTAACTCACTCAGTGAGTGAGTGTGGGGTGCGTGCTGACTTATAACACCCTTCGTCGTCGGTTTCATTGTGCAATTATTGACGGCGCGCTTTTTGCACTGTCATCACCCGCAAAGTGCTGTTCTAATGATGCATGTGCTTTAACAAATTCATCCCTTATTACTGAAAATTCAAAACATTTATACTTTCTCCCCGAAATAATAAAATGCGCGCCGTGGTTTATTCTTACACAATCTCTGTTAAACGACACATTTGCTCGGGTTGAGATGGTGACCGTATTCGTGCACCGATCCAACGTATAGGTTGATTTAAATATATATGTGTCTGTGTATAAGCTACATGACAACGATCACGGCGATGTTGTTGCACAGAAAATGCTTAAATATGTTGAAATTATGAGTTTATCAAAAGTAATCAGAGATAGTACCACATACATCGAAGCGGGGAGAGAATGCAGCGAAAATTTCATCGAACGAGCTTGAGAAATACAATAATACATACATTTAATTTAGGAACACATATGAGAAACAAACGGGGTAAATCATATATACATCTTTGCGTCTATCTAACGCGCGCTCTAGGAGATGATGAAAAGTTGGAAAAATTCTTGCAAACTCTTTGCCAATGTACTTAATTAAAACTTTGTTATTTGAATTGTTTGAAATACATATGCACAGTGGATTTGGCAATTTATGCGCTCAAGCAACCGCAATATTGTGGCTTTTTCATCATACCTATACAACACAATCAACTATGTATATATGAATGAGTTTTTGGTGCTGTTGCTTGCATGCGATCGGATTAAAAGAGCCCAAGTGCTGCGACGGAAGAATGAGAGACAGTTGAATTTAACATATAGTCAAACATATTGTTATGTTACAACCGCATGGAATGAATTTCGCTTTTCTCTCTCTCTCTCTCTCTCTCTCTCTCGTTCTGACTCGCCCAAACGCTGGCTTCGTGTTCTACTCTCTCATTTTCACAACAATGCACACACACACCATGAGCATTGTGTATGATCTGATTATTTTACCGCTTCTAAGTCGGATGCATAATTCTTAAGTTGCCGCACTCTCAAGCGTCTTACTTCACACAATCATTCATTTCATTCATTTTATTCGTACATCTCCCTCAATCGATCGGCCATTTTGTCTTTCACACATTTCGACTTTTAATATGGAACGCTCTTCCCGGCTGCTTGCAAGGAAGTGAGCGGAATTAATTTCCTTTTTATTGTACTATAAATTGGTAAATTTGCACCCAAGTGTGATAAAGCTGTTGAATGTTGAAAATGTGAAAAACGAAGGTAAATGCCAAAGTCGAACATTACGTTATTAAATTTTCATGGGAATCAAGTGGGTATATGTGTGTGCGTGCGTGTGTGTGAGAGTGAGAGGGAGAGAGAAGAAATTCACTTTGTAATTACATCATGTGCCGTCAGATTGGACATTCCTTTAGCCTCTGTTGACTTACAATTACATCTCACAGATCACGGTGTGAAATTCAATAATCTTTTTTCCACTTCTGTTCAGTTTCTTTTGCGTTTTGTTTTTTTTTTTCATTTGCTGCGTTTGCCTGCGCTTTCAATTATGCCACTTAGATGTAGAAGCAATGACCATATCCATTTCTTCTTGTTCAGTCTTGAATTTTTTCTGCTTCTTCTCTCTGTTTTTTTCTTTCTTCTTTCAGTCTCTTTTTCTAACAGAAAGGATGATCTATTGTAAGTGAGGAGAATATAGATTGTTGTTTAAGGGAAAAAAAAACATTTTATGGGGGAGAAGAAGATCAAATGTACCGGCCAAACTTTATGATGAAAGAAATACGATATGGCATCACTGTGAACTCATTCAAGTAGAAACGAATATTGAGCACGATTGTGTATTGCTTGGCTAAGAGCAATCTTGAAACAGATTTGCTTAGCTTCTTACTTTTATTTTCGTGAATTATTTGATTCAAATATTCGAGCTTCAGATAGAGGAGGGAAAAAAAGAACGAATAAATTCTACAACTTTAAATGAATTGGCAATGGGATGAAGAAGCTAAGCAGTTTCATTGAAGTGCGGCCATACGACTCTATTTCTATTCATTTTTTTCTTCTTCTTGTGATTTGTATTTGTTTATTTGTTGCTGGTATTGAATCGGTATTCAAATGAAATTCGTTTTCTTTTAGCCATACCATGATTTTTTGGTTTCGATTCGTGTGTTTGTGTGTGCTGATGATAAAACGAAGAAGAACTGTCGCCCATTTGTTGCCATCCTTGCATTTTTACCTAGCAACTGTAAGGAATTCATCAATTCCCATTTTCATCGTCGTCTTCGTTTTTTTCCGCTTTTTGGTTTGCATCGTTTTCATATCTTTAAAACGTGCACATTTTCACACCGATTTTCACATCATTGTGAACGATGAGAGAAAGTTGGTGCGCTTTGCTTTGTTACACGATTCTTGCATCGACCGTAATAGTATACCGATGGAAGTTTGTTTGTGCTGAGCT